AGGAGGTGGGGCAAGGTAATAAACTCTCAAAGCCTACCTCCAGTGACATACTTTCCTCCAGCAAGGCTGTGCCTCCTAAAGGTTCCATAACCTCCCCAAATGGCATCAAGAACTTGGAACTAGATATTCAAATTCAAAACCTAGGTTATGTACTGATAATTTTCCAATCATTAAGTGGCTATAAACCCAGCTGGGTATCACACCCATATATGTTCCTATTTCCAGGCTGGAGAAAGAAATTTAAAAATAGGGAAACAGTTCAAGTAATGAGGAAGTTTACAGGCAAGCTTCAACTTCAGAGTGTTTGTCTTTCTTCATATCTAGTCAGAGAGTTCCCGTCTGGCCTAGATGAGCTCCATGAGGTATCTACAGGCTTTGCTCTCCCCAAGTCGTCGTGCAGCCTGTGTAGCATCTATGTTCAGAAAGGAGTTTTTGATGTTCTAATCTCAAGGAATGGCCCACTATCACGAACATTCCAAGAACTACCTCTTTATGTAGATATGCTCAGGTCCTGCAACTGAGCAGTTAAAACCGTGTCCTTGGAATGTTCTACTTAGTGGTGGAGTATCTGCTAAGAAATCCTCAGGCTAGGGTATGGCTCAGTGATGGAGCTCCTGCTTGGAATCCCCCAGTGAGGGGCTGGGGGCGTGGCTCAGTGGTAGAGCCCCTGCCTAGAATCCTCCAGTGAAGGGCTGGGGGCGTGGCTCAGTGGTAGAGTGTCATCTATTATTTTCAGAACAGGCCTACTTGTCCTATTGCTTTTCTATATGGCTCTGTATCCTTCATTGCACAAAAGTAAACACTTCACAATGTGAGCATGATGCTGTGCACCTGTAATCCTAGCACTTGAGAAGCTAAGTCAGGAGGATCACAATTTCTAGGCTAGCCTGTGCTCTAACAGTGAGATTGATCTCGGAAATCAAGTCCAAACTCAAACCTAACCCACCCCAAATTTTCCTTGCATCTCTCATGCCTGAAGGCTCCTGTGTCGTATAAAACTTTGGTCAAATAAGTACACTATGCTGTCCTCTGACTAAATTGTTCTGTATTTTGGGAGTGGTGGGGGCAGGGGAGGATGAACCACAAATATGAGTCCTTCTGCCAGCCACCCTCTACTGTGGTTCTGATGCTGCCTGGTCTGGGTCCTCAGTGAACAGCTGTGGAGACCCAGCCTCAATCAGTCCCTAATGCTCTGAATGCCACAGGCATCAGGGATGTCCTCCTACCCAACTTCCTTCTTATCTCACAGATGTTTAAAAGTGCTTCTTCCATGATCTTTGATCAGTCTTTTTAGTAAACCATATTTTTGTACTCAGTTTGCTATAGATTATAAAAATTCAATACCCTAAGGATCTTGTTGAGAAGGCTCCAAATAAATAAAAAATAAAAGAGTGGGCCAACGAGATGGCTCAAGGAGGTAAAAGGGATTGCTGCCAAGCCTGACTACTTGAGTTCAATCCCTGAGACCCACATAGTGGCAGGAGAGAACTGACTCCTGCACATTGTCCTCTGACTTCCACACGTGGGCTGTGGCACAAATACACACACCAACTAAGTTTTGTTTTTGTTTTCAAAGGAAGGAAATGGGACTAGAGAGATATCTTACTGCTCCATCATGAGAGGTTGTAGTGAGAATTTTAGTTTCTTTAAAAGCACAGAAATGTAAGAATGTTTTAATCCCTGGTGTGGGATATGAGGCTGCTTCAGACTGTCCATGGCACCTGACTGTGATTTGCTTCGTGCTCTAGCAGGGGCGTGGTTTTGACAGCTGCAGATAGTTTCTGAGAGCGTATGCAGTTTGGAATTCTGGGGACTTTCAGAGGATAAATAAATGCTGGAGCCCTGGGTTGGTGTTTGTCAAGTAGTCGCGTGCAAAGAGATGAAAAGAAGAAGTTAGAGATCCTGACAGCAAAGCTCAAACTTGCCCCAAGGAACTTGATGCCTCTAGTCAGCAGGAAGGAGTCTAAGGACATTATCATCACCCTCTTCCCCTCTAATCCTTTTTTCTCTCCTTCCTAGTGTTGGGGGGTTTGGAAGGGTGGAAGAAAGAAGAGCCTGCAAAGAAGTGGAACTGGGATCCATGAATCTTCATCAGTGACTCACAAAGGCCTGTAACTCAAATGCCCTCTTCTGGGCTCCAGGGGCTTACCCACAATACACTAACAATGCGATAAAAAAATATTTTAAAAACTGAAAAAAGACTGTTGTGATTTTTCCTGTTCCTCTCCCTCCCGCCCTTCCTTTGGGGACTAAACTCAGGACCTTACATACATAAGCAGTGTATCAGTAGGTTATATCTCTGTACGTTTTCCCCCATTTTTTATTTTATTTTACTTTTTTGTCTTACAGTAGGCCCTTGCCAATTGCCCAGACTGGCCTTGAATGAAAGAGTCTCCTATCTCACTCAGATTTCTCAGTGGCAGGCATGGCACCCACACCACCAAGCCTGGCTCCCCGTGTATTTTTTTTTTTTACGTGAAAAACTGTAAAGGTGCTTGCTGTTAATTGTTTAAAACAATGAGCAACAACAGAGGAAAACATAACCTCCCCATACCCCCAAACAATAATGCCTTTATTGAAATTGAGAGCCAGGCTTGGTGGCTAGGACTGCAATCCCAGTATTTGGGAGTATTGTGGAGTCAAGAGGATCACAAGTTAGGGGCTAGCCTGGGCTGAGACTGAATACACAAAGGAACACTAAACTCTCCAGCAAAGTCCAAATCACAAAAACAAACAAGAAAAAATGTCGCTCCCCTTTAAAAGAGATCCAGTCTAGCCTGGAACTTAACTTGGTAGACAAGGATGATCTTGAATTTCTGATCCTCCTGCCTCTACCTTCCAAGTGCTGGGATTATAAGCTTGCCACCAGTAAGCCTAGTTGTGAAGAGTTGGGGGTGGGGTAGGGTGGGGATATCCAGTTGAGGTCTAGGCAAGCACTCAACTTCAGCTCAACAGCCTAACTACATCCCAACTCTAAACCCCAAAATCCAAACATGCTCCCTGAACCTCCCCCTCCCCCCAACTTCCATGCCCCAACAAAAAGCCTAAACCTAAGCCAACCAAACAAAACTAACTAATGATTGAGAGTAACAAAGTTTAATAGGATGGGAGGAATGAAGCGGAAGCCTCTGAATTCACTCAGCTGATTCTTATCTGTTGGCAGTGTGGTTTCTCTCTCTGGCCCAAGCAATTAAAATAAATCAGAGGGCGGGTTTGGTTTCCAGTCTTTGGAACTCCTGGGTCTCAGGAAAAGGAGTAGGTTGTGAAGACCCAACAGGGCCATACATCCGCGTGCGTGGCACCAATAAGATGTTCACAGAGTCGGGGTGAGCACAGAAGCATCAACTAAGATGGTCAGAACACTCCCAGGGCCCTAGCAAGAAGGACACAAGGCCTTGCTCCGAAAGTAGCGGAATCCGAGTCTCCAGGCCAGATTTTCCCTCTAGCCATTCCGGGCCAAGCTAAGCGGAGCAGCTAAGCCAAGAGAAAGGGACGTCTTCGTCTGCTGGGATGGAACAAACCCGCCTGCTTAGAGAGCACTGAGAACCCCAAGGGTCCCTCACAGCCCTTAGCAGCCAACATGACTTGACTGCTCCCCGGTCCCGCGCGCTCCCCGCTCTCTCCAGACACCCCCACCCTTTCCGGGTGCGCGCGCAAGAGTGGGCCAGCTTCCCCTAGCTGTGCGCTCCGCAGCCTGCGGGTGGCAGCGGCGTTGGCGACTGGCTCTCGGGGAAGGGGGTGACCAAAGGACCGCGAAGGAGGAGTCGGCGCCGCAGCCGCTCCCCTCGGGACCGCGCCCCGCCTTCCGTTGCCACCTGAGCATCCCCTCTTGGCTCCCAGCCGCTCCGGACTACCCCACCATTCCCTCTGGGAGACCGTGTGTACTCTTAGTGTCGCAGCCGCGGTGTCATTGCATCCGGTGATCGGGACACTCGGATCTTGGTTCCCCTAGGGGCTTGGGACGAGCTGCACCGGCCGTGGTGACGGGCAGCGGGGGCGCCAGCGCGCATCCCTCCCCCGCGACATTTAGAAAGGCGTGTAGACAACTGGTGTGACTTTGGAGGTCCGACTCCTCCTTCCGGCCAGCCTCGCAACGCGCCACCTCCCGAGACAAGCCAGTGTGTCCGGCAGGCCCCGGAGGCTCGTGTAGGGACTTGGAACGTGTCCGGGAACCCGTGGCGCTGTGCGCACTGGTGAGTTTTGCGGGAGGGGTGGGGGCGGAGAGGACGTCGTGCTGGGTCCCTGCTCCCGCCCCTTTCCTGCTGTCTCCCCCCCCCCCACACTTTGAGAGAGTCATTGAGATTTGAGCGTGACTGCGGAGCCTGGAGGATGCAGGCACCGGGCGCGGGGTTTTCCTTCTCCGTGAGTGATGGAGAGAGCCGGTGAGCTGAACAAAGACACCCGCCCTGAGGAGCGGGTCCTTTGCTGAAGAACGCTATTTTCGCCCCGCGACGGCCGCCTGCGGGCGAGAGTGTCGGCCGCGCAACTCCAGGAGTGGCGCGCTCCTCCGCCGGCTGGCGCAGAGCTGGAGCCTGGCACCTGCGCGCCACTCCAGCCACATCTCCGGAGCATCCCGACTACCACCGGATTGTTCCCGAAGGTTCAAGTCTGCGGAGCAGGTCCAAAGTCCAAAGTCCAAAGGCAACCTGTTTGCTGTTCAACAGGGAGAGAGACCCTGGGACCTTTATCTTTTGCTGTCTGGTAGAAGGGACTGCGTGCTGCGGACGGAGCAGGTATCTCAGCGACACTTTTGCAAGCCAGGGGCTTCCATGTGAGTGATCACGCTTGGTCCCCAACAGCCGCGTCCTCTCAGTGGTCTCTGTGGCCTGAGTATCGCCTGAGTAGCGTTTTGTGGCCAGCGGCAGCTGGGACCCCTAGCCCTTTGCTCCCTCCCCCGGCCATTGTCCGGTCTGTGGGATCTGCGCCGTCTCTGCTCCTGCGCCTCGCAGGTGAGGCTGGTAGAGGCGTGGGTCCAGGGAAAGGACCGGCCGTGTTGTTTGATGGCTTCACTGAGGAGAGTCAAAGTGTTGTTGGTGTTGAACTTGATCGCGGTGGCCGGCTTCGTGATCTTTTTGGCTAAGTGTCGGCCTATCGCGGTGCGCAGCGGAGACGCCTTCCACGAGATCCGGCCTCGCGCAGAGGTGGCCAACCTCAGCGCGCACAGCGCCAGCCCCATCCAGGATGCGGTCCTGAAGCGCTTGTCGCTGCTGGAGGACATCGTCTACCGGCAGCTTAATGGTAAGGACGTGCCATGACGCCTGTGGGTCGTGGTGCAAGCAGGGCATAGGGTGATCTCCCTGGCTCTCTGTATCTTAAGCTGACATCTGAACCAGCCTGATCTCTCTCTTCTATCCCTGCTCTGTGCCTGGGACTATTGTAGAAACCACCACCTGATTCTTTTTCCATGATGTACTGCAGCTGGAAGTTTGGTCTTCTGCTAAAAACCTGTCACTACAGTTGACTCTTGGTCTCTGCTTGTGACTCCAGCTTAGACAGAATGGACTGCAGTCTGGGGACGTCTAGAAAGGAAATAGCTGTCAGTTCGTGGTGTTTGATGGGGGAAGCTGGTAGGGAAGTGGGTGTCATGGCTTGTAAAGCGAGAACTTGAATAAATACACTATTGCTTTAGGTTGATTGCATCACTAAGAATGCAGACTCTTTCCTCCGCAGTGCCTGGGTGCAAGGTGGTCTATTAATAAACCAGCCTACCCCGAACCAAGTGGCAACTGAAGTTCAAGTTCTTAGTGGGTCTGGGAAGCAGGGGTTCGTTAACAAAGTTAAGCCAAACAAGGAGGCATGGCATCCAGGTTCGTAGCTTTTTTCCAGAACTCGTCTCATTTAAACTATTCTAAATGAGTTGCCATAAAAGAGGCGGTGTGTGTGTGATTTACTGCTTCCACCTGGTTCAAGGGACTTATGGTCCCTGGACCCTTGCTGTCTTCATATAAAGAAGACATAGTGATTATGGAAGACTGGCTCTCTCTTCCCAACCTTCTGCATGTTACCATGGCCTGGGACTGTCAGCCATTGTAATGACTGCTAATAAGTCAGTCGTTGCTGTGTGCTAGAGAAACAGTACAAGCGCCACACGTTCATGGTAGGACATAACCATTAGTCCTTGGAGGTTCTGGCCCCTCCCCCACAGGAGAACAGAACAAACCAGACTCTGGGAAGTTAACCACAGTGCCCGAGTCCTGACTGGTGTGAATAAGTAGTAGTTTAGACTCTGGTTGACCACAAAGCCCATGTTCTTGGCTATAAGGTATACATTTTTTTTTCATGTGTCTATGTGCAGGGGTGTGTATGTGTGTGTGTGTGTGTGTGTGTGTGTGTGTACACTTGGAGGCTGGGGCCAACCTTGAATGTCATTCCTCAGGTACATTTACCTTAGATTTTTTTTTGAGATAAGGGTCTCTCTCTGATCTGGCACTCAATCACAGAGTAAGTGAAGCGGGCTGACCAGCAACCCCAGGAATTCAGCTCTGGGGTTACAAGTACATGATACTTTTTTATATGAGTTTTAGGGACTGAACTCAGAGGTCCTCAGGCTTGCCTGGCAAGTATTTTACCAACGAAATCATTTAGCACCAAAGACAAAAATTTCTATCTACATAATTTAAAATTGTGTGTGTGTTTATGTGTGTGCATGTTGTATTGTACTGTATTGTATTGTATTGTATTGTATTGTATTGTATTGTATTGTATTGTATTGTATTGTATTGTATTGTATTGTATTGTATTTGGAGAAGGTACACACATAACACAGACCACATATGGAGACCAGAGAACAATTTACTATAGTTAGCTCTCTCGTCTACCGTGAGATCCTGAAGATGGATCTTACCTCCTTAGACTTCACTGTCTTTACTCACTAGGCTACCCGACTAGCCACAGACTCTGAGTTTAAAAGTATATATATTTTGGATAAATGAACTACATGGCTCTATAGGTACAACCATAACCCGTGTAAACTTGACCAGCCTTGTGACAGGTGGCCGAGGACTGGGGAAGACAGCTTTTTTTCTTGCCCTTTGATGATCCCTTCTGGGTAATTCTAGGAGAAGGGATATGAGCAGCCTCCTGCATTCATGAAAAGATGTCCTGGTCATCTTAGCATCATATTGTAAGTATCCCATGGGCTTTGATGCACTTTTTAGCGTTCACAAGTTTTAGCAGTTTTTAGCATTTGTACTTCTCACTCATCATGAGGCCAGATCATGAGAGCAGCCCACCAAGGCTGTGTTGAAGCTCTTCTCCCAAACCCCTCAAGACAAAACAGATCAAACACGACTGAACCCCTCACTTCACTTCTGGAGCAATTAAAAGTATATGGTCTCAACACTCTGGAGGTGAAGCAGGAGGATCAGGCATGCAAGGCCAGCCTGGCTCAACCAGGTTAGGGAGGCAGGAGTTGTTTTTCCGAATTGATACCTGTAGAAACACGTTCATAAGATACCGCCCCTCTCCCCAAATAGTCAGAGCTTGCTCACTCTCAAGCCACATGCAGGGACACAGGTCATTGTAGCAATAGTTTACATTAGGGACATAAAATATGTTATGGCCACATCTCTTAATGGGAATCATAAAAATTCTATGTAGTACTATTTATTTGTTATTTATTTATTTATTTATTTATTTATTTATTGTGGTGTGGATGCATATGTGTACACATGCATGTGTAAGTTAGGGGGGGATCAGTATCTGGTGTCTTCCTCCATCATTTCTCCACCTCACCCCCCCCCCTTATTTTGAACCATAATCTCTCACTCAGCCTGGAGTCTGCCAATTTGGTTAGACTGGTTGACCAGCAAGCTCCAGTGGCCATCTCTACTCAGCACTAGGTTCACAGGCAAAGACTAGCAAGTCCTTTCCCCAATGAGTCATTTTCTCAGATCACTGTGTAGTGTTTTTTTTTGTTTTGTTTTGTTTTGTTTTGTTTTTAGGTGTAGCAGATGTGCACGGCCCCCTTAGTGTTTGCAATAACCCTGCAAGACACTTGTTCTTATTTGTCCCTTTGAGACTTTGCTGGCAGTTACCCAGTGACTTTTGGGGCTTTAAAATGAGCCTGGGCCTTGTTACTTTAGGGTGGAAGCTCTTGGCTGCTGGGCCCACTCACCTGCCTGGACATTACTATCAAAATGACTTGCATCACCTATACGGGTTCAGAACTCATGGCTCCATGTCCTAGGGACCCTTTTTCAATAGGCAGAGAGTAGGGTTTGAGACTTTGCCTCTAATGAACTCCTTGATCTCCATCAGAGACTCCTCTGCCTATACCAGATTGAGTAAGGACAGAAAACACAAATGACAAAGCCAGCAGGCTGGCTGGGTAGGACTTGCAAAGAAGCCAAGATTTGCTCCCAAGGGGTGCTGGGTCTTGGATGCTTTCTCTTAGCTTTCTGCTTTGTAGAGAACGTCCATGCTAGGGAGCTGTGGGTATAGTTCAGTTGGTTGAGCCCTTCCCTAGCACCACATAAACAAGGAGTGGTGGCACAAACTTCCAAGCTCAGCCCTAGGGAGGAGAAAGGAAGATTAAGACTTCAAGATAAGCACTAGCTATCTACAGAGCTCAACGCCAGCCTGGGCTAAATAAGACCTTGGCTCAAAATGAAAGGATGGGAGGGAGAGAGGGAGGAAGAGAGGGGAGCAGGGAGGGAGGGAGAGGAGAAAAGTAGAAGAAGAATTGACTGGTTGAATGGGGAGTTGGGAAGAAGGAAGGCTCAAAGCTCGCTTAGTGAAGTCCAGTTGAGAGTTTTTCTTGGGCAAGCTATGACTTCCAACTGTGACTTGGCAGAATTTGTCTTTCTGGGTACTGAAGGTGATTTGTAGGAACATGTAACCTGGCAGTAAGAGCAAGAGAAAGTGGTGATGTAGAGAATCCCTTCCTTGTCTCCACCCTGCCCTCAGGGGCACCAGCTTGTGTCTGTCCTTGTTTTGGGTACTGTGTGTTCCTTCTGTTATACTAGGCTGCCTGCTGCCAGGAGGCTGTGAGAGGAAGGGGCGGACTCTTCTGGCATATGGAGAGATGGGGGCCAGGGCTTCATTTGTATCTGTCTATGCTGTGCCCCTGTCTCCACCTGTTGCCACTGACAACAAAGTAGACCAGGAACTCAAGGGTCCTGCTCCTGAGCTGGAGCTAGGCACTGGCACATGGCAGGCACTCATGTACAGCTCCTTAGTGTCATACGAAGCTGGCATTTTCAGAGTTGCACAGAGCTGGTCTAGGGATATAGTTCAGTGGTAGAATGCTTGCTTTGTACGTTCAAAGTTCCAAGTCCGATCTCTAGAGCAACAGAAGACATACAAATAAACAAAAACCTCCCGGGGTTACTTAAATTCCTCCTGTGGCCTCTTTAGGTCTCGCAAGAGAGATTCTCAGAGATTCCACCTTCCTCTGGCTGGGTTTTGGTTTGCTTGGTTGTTTTTGCTTGTTTTGAGGCTGGATCTCAGGTGTCCTAGGCTAGCCTCAAACTCCTTAAATAGCCAAGGATGACCTTGAACTCCTAATCCTCCTGCCTCTACTACCCCAGTGCAGGGATCACAAGTCTGCCCAGGCAGTTTGTTCTTTGATTGACTTCACCTCTGCTTACTTACTGAGATACACCACATTGACCTCAGGTTTCCTAGCTTCCACATTGCAACGCAGTCTGAGAAGAGCCGGTTATACTGGAATTTACTGCACACTCCTCAATTCTGTCCGTCCTTCCAAGCTTGGCTCTTGTGGGTGAGGGTTGTTGAATGTTATGTGGGCCACAGTCCTGATGCTCGGAGCTGTTCAAGGCCTTAGTGACGTCACTTTGCAGGTCTCAGCCTGAACTCTTACTCCTCAGTGTGTTTAACTTTGGAGTCCAGAAATGACTCTAGGCTTTTTTAAAGGGCTGGCATCCTCTTTTAGACTTTTACATCCTACCTCCGTCTTTTTGCCATCTGTGCCTTGTGTATACGGTAGGCAGTTGAGGTTTATTGATAGCTGGCTGGGAGCTGGTTTTCAGGAGGGAAATGATAGCCATAGAGAAAATAACCTAGAGCTTGCAAAAGCTGGGATGGGTGTGGTGAAGGGAGAGGGTAGGAAGAACTTAGCTGGAAAGACAGAATGTGAGAAAACCGTCTTCGTAATTAATGTCTCCATTATCTGGCCTGTGCCTTCTTGCTTCCGCCATCTTGACTTTACAATCATGGCTATGCCACCTGGCCACTGCTTTCTTGCTTCTGACACACGGCCTTTACCATGCTGACTC